CAATTGTTAGCCGTGTGCGGCGCCCCCCTCCACAGTTTACACCCCCGGTCATATTCTCGCGGTGCTTAGGCGAAGCCCTGCGCGGACCACTTCACCATCACCGTCACCACGCCGTCGTGCTGACGGAACTCATCTACTTCCTCGACATCTTACTGGATCAAAAGGACGAGGGACGACATCATCGAGCTGAACGTGTGCAGAACTCGGAGGTGTCGTACATTCGGTACTTGATCGGTCGGAGCTAGAAGAAGTTCGACTACATCAATCGCGTTGTCAAACCCTTCCTCTTACGGTCTATGAGGTTACGTAGACACACTCTCCCCCTCGTTGCTAGGCATCTCCTATATAGATCTTGCGTGAGCGTAGGAATTTTTTTGAAATTACATGCTATGTTTCCCAACGTGTTTATATATGATCTCTCATTTGATTATTGCGACTGATTCGTGGTTATTTTTTCTCCGCCATTTGCTTTAGGACCCACTGCTCAATATTGATCTAATAAAGTTTGTTTAGTTTTGCTGCATTCTTATTAATTTTCTCATAGTATCTTATAGCGATGGACTTATTAGACGATTTGTAAAATTATAGATGTGAATGTTCGGTGGCGCGAGGCATGAAGAGATTCTTTTTCTAAAACACAATACAAATGTATGCTCACAAAATGTACATAGGCTGCATCATACGATCATTTTGAGATTGACAAATTCACCAAAGACACTCTGTAGTCAACGGGAACACCTCCTCCCACTGAACGAATATCATCAAAAAGCCTGAAATAAATTAAGAAAAATACGAGCATCAGCGTCAAGTCTAGGACTTGAACCCTGATAGATCGGGGATACCACTATTCTTCTATAACCATCTAATAATAGATAGGTTCAGGCCGCCACCCGAATATAGTCTAGTTCTTTAAAGGAGTCCTAAAGCAAAGCTCAACAATCTGGACGCGAACGCGACACCACTCAGCAGTAGTTGTAGGCGATCTGGCCCCAGTTAAATTACATAGTACGTACGCTGGTGAGCGCGACGTGAACGGACGAGAGAGAGAATCCTAGCCAGCCGTAGGGCCGGACGCGCCACCTAATCTGAGTTGATTGGTCTTGGCTGCTAACACGCGCGCAACAAACCAAATTGACGGCTGATATTAAGAAGACACGTACGGCAGGTCGGCAAGAATCGGAACCAATCGGCCATGGACGGACGGCGCTGCTACGTCCGACGCGGACAGCTGAATGAATCATCACTTCATCAGTAGTGGGTGGTAGGCTTTCCCTTTACCCGAATTCATCATCATCAATAAGAAAAGATATATCCCCTGTGGCGCCGGCGCCGGCGCATAATAAAAGGAGAAGTTTCTTTCGCTTATTCTGGAATCGGAACCCCAGCAAGCACCATCCATGGCGGCCATGTCGTCCTTCCGCCTCCTTCCCCTCGCGCTGCTGCTCCTCCTGCTCGCCATGGCGCACGCGCGGCTGCAGCCCACCATCCGGCTGCCGTCGGACGACGGCTCCGTCGGGACCAGGTGGGCCGTCCTCGTCGCCGGCTCCAACGGCTACTACAACTACCGCCACCAGGTGCGCACGCTCTATCATGGATTCTACTCTTTGCTCCTTCGCGTCTCACTCTAATTCCGCCCGCTCCAGTTTTTTCTTCCTGTGAGTTAAGAATAAGTAAACGTGGGAAATTTAAGTAGTGGCTCATGTATGCTGTTCATAGCTATGAGATCGATGAGCCAAATTTGGAGCTATGCACGATCGTCTCCGTTAGCCGTCCAGGTAGGCACCAAGTTGTCACTGAACTTGAACTATAATACGGCTGGTGGTATAATTATACGATCACCGGTTCATCATAGAGCTCCGTATGTTGTGTACGTGGCACCATGTTGACCGATCAAACAGTCCAAATAGCAAAAAATTGCTGCCCTGTGAGATGGCAGCTCTCTACCCATGCGGGGCTCGTCTGTCAATGGTAGAAAAAATAGATAAATGGTGCAAAAGAATCTAGGATCATTTTGTTACTGAGTTAGTGTTTCGTCAATTTTTTCATTGTTCACTGCTGAAAAGGATTTTTTTTCTATCCGAGCTGATACTAAATTCTTATCCGTTTGTCTCGTAAAAAAGAATCTTCAGACGTGGGTCATGCGCTGTGGCCCAGCGAAGCCAACCCACTTATTTTTCTACCCATGCACCTGAGAAATTCCGCACAGGGCGATAAATAGTTGGAGTTTTGCACAGAACAACCAATAATGGGCTAGCCCATTTTTCTTTTTTCTGTGCCTTTCTCTATCTCTTTTTTACTTCCAAGTTTATTTTACTTTTCGAATTTAGTTTGTAATTTAAAAATTCTCAAAAAAAATTGGAATTAAAAAAACAAGTTTTAAAAAATGTTCAGAATTCCAAAATTTTGTTGCTATTTTGAAAAATAGTCGGAACTTGCAAAAAAAGTTTCCTATTTTTTCAAAAAACATTTATTGTTAAGATCTAAAAAAATGCATTTCAAAAAATGCTCCAAATTCAAAAAATATTCTTGTTTTAGTGAATTTTTACCATTAAAAATAATTTTCATGTATAAAGGATACACATTTTCAAAAATCTTATGAATGTTCAACACATGTTCCCATTTTAAAAAAATGTTCACAAATTCAATTAATGTTCATGTTTTTATGAAAAAAGTTGGTGTTCTTGGAAAATGTTTGTGAATTTTAAAAGATGTTCCCTTTCGTATTTTTTTTGCATTTTTCCAAAACTGTACATAATTTTTACAAAACTGTTTAGGATTTAAAAAAATTGTTCATGTTTCATAGAATATTCAGCAACTTCATACTTTAAAATCACCTTGATTGTAAGAATTTAAAGAAAAAGTACATTGAATAACTCATGGGCCTTCTCTGGCGTATGATGATGTAACAAAACTCTTAAATGCCCTCGATCAATTAATGAAAAAATAGTGGATTGATTCCTTCGCACGCGGCGAAACCGAAAAGCTAAATGTTACTTTTTTGTGTGCACACAAGGTTTTGCTTGCACATATAATTTTCACTGACTTTAAATGCATACTATTTTACATGGGCATATGTGCTAGTTATAATTAATTACAGGTTAGCAATTGAATGGAAGTAAGGTGTGCCCAAGTCCCAAATAATTGTGCATACTTTATTTTATTTTATTTTGCATCAATCTCGGAGAGAATTTGCACAAATCATATCTCTGGAGACAATCAGCCCGCCGTGTGCCCATGCTTTCTCCGACATCATTACTGTTCACGTAGGCCTACAACCCTGGCACAAATCTCAATGCAACCAACACACATGCAAATGGTAAAGGTTACAATGCACCTAGGTTTAGAAAATCCACACTCGATATTCTAATTCTTTTGTGTGCATAGCTGTAAGAATAGGTTAAAAAAATGTGTTCCGTGTTTGTTTGGTGTTGCTGCCTATCTCAGAAAAAAAATCCCTCCTTGTTCGTTTTGTTGACGACAATGAATAGTGTATTTTAATTTGTGGACCAAACTTTGCACTTTGCAGGCGGATATTTGCCACGCCTACCAGATATTGAAGAAGGGTGGCCTCAAGGATGAGAACATCATCGTCTTCATGTACGATGACATTGCGCACAACCTGGAGAACCCAAGGCCGGGCGTCATCATCAACCACCCCCAGGGTGGAGATGTCTATGCTGGGGTCCCTAAGGTAATCATGCATGCGTATTCACGGAAAACTTTCCAGTATTTGTTGATGTAGTAAAGAACTAAGATTGGTATATATTACCTTATGGAATGATACAAACTGTTTGATGGTTGCAGAAAAATGTGAATATGGTATTACTCTAGAAATTACACGAACATAAATTTCAATGGCAGTTTGTACCGCATTGAAAATGATTAAATACCTAAATTGTGATCAGTCTTTATGTCATTTTCCAGTTGGCCTTTGATGTCAAATTTCTATGTGATAATGTCAACATCTTGATGGAATGAACCAATATATTCCAATGATCATGCACCCCTATCGAGTATCCACAATTTTCTGTCTGTTTGACTGAATCTCCACTGTAGGACTACACTGGGAAGGAGGTTAATGTCAAGAACTTGTTTGCTGTCCTTCTCGGTAATAAAACCGCTGTGAGTGGTGGGAGTGGCAAAGTCGTGGACAGTGGCCCTAATGATCACATTTTTGTGTTTTACAGTGACCATGGGGGTCCTGGGGTCATTGGTCAGTATTCAGAACATGCCATTCTTTTATTCTCTTCTTTCGAGAATTTTAGTATCTAAAACCAGTCAGAACAGATATTTCATATAAATGCAGACGTACATACAAATCTAACATGCACAATTACCTTATTAGTGTCATGGTTTTTCTGTTCTGGTAAAACTTTCAGGGATGCCTACCTATCCATACGTTTACGGTGACGATCTTGTAGATGTCCTGAAGAAAAAGCACGCTGCTGGAACCTACAAAAGCCTGGTACCCCATCGTCCTTTGGTTATTTTTGCTCGGCACTGTTTGCTGGTTAAAACAATGGCCTGACTAAACATTCAGAAAAAAAACAATAGCCTGACTCTTATTTTGCAGGTATTTTATCTTGAAGCCTGCGAAGCTGGGAGCGTCTTTGAGGGGCTTCTGCCAAATGACATCGGTGTCTATGCGACCACCGCGTCGAACGCGGAGGAGAGCAGTTGGGGAACGTATTGCCCTGGCGAGTACCCTAGCCCTCCGTCCGAATATGACACCTGCTTGGGCGACCTGTACAGCATTTCTTGGATGGAGGACAGGTATCCCGCTTTGTTGTACCATGTTTAACATTCGTTCACATGCTAAAATCATGGTTTGATACGGTCAGTTCGAACACACGTGACTCATATTTGTTAGTACTTTCTGGTACCGTACATGTGTGTCGTTTCAAAATGATTAACTAGTAACTAGTAGGGCACTTATCATACTGCACTAGAATAAAATGTCACCAAAATGTTCTCATATTGGCTGCCATGGTTGTCACTGTTGCATTCACCATTTTATAGTTGAACCCTAAGTCAAAATCCTTGGATCATTTGTTTGAAAGGAACTAGGTTTTTCGTTATGGTTCGTAGTTGTGCTCGAATAACGTGCAACTTTCAATGTTGACAGTGATGTACACAACCTGAGAACTGAATCTCTCAAGCAGCAGTATGACCTGGTAAGTGCTTAAAACTCCAAAAAGAAAATAGATTATTAATCTTGGAGCAGTTCTTTCCTAACATAACTAATTAATGGTGGAGCAGGTCAAGAAGAGAACGGCAGCTCAGGACTCATACAGCTATGGTTCCCATGTGATGCAATACGGTTCTTTGGATCTGAATGATCAACATCTCTTCTTATACATTGGGTCAAATCCTGCTAATGACAACACTACATTTGTTGAAGATAACTCACTGCCGTCCTTCTCAAGAGCTGTTAATCAGAGGGATGCTGATCTTGTTTATTTCTGGCACAAGGTTCCTAATTATATCATGAGAAATCTCTCATGCTACTTTACGCACAAAAATAGAGTATTCATAAATAAACTCAGTAAAAAAAGATGGTTAAACTAACTGATTTCTTTCTTTCTTTTGTTCTGCATGTAGTACCAGAAATTGGCTGAGAGCTCCCCTGAGAAAAACGATGCTCGGAAGCAATTGCTCGAGATGATGGGTCATAGATCTCATATTGACAACAGCGTCGAGCTGATTGGAAACCTTCTGTTTGGTTTTGCGGATGGTCCAATGGTCCTGAATACCATTCGCCCAGCTGGCGAGCCTCTTGCTGATGACTGGAGTTGTCTCAAGTCTACGGTAAGGCTCCATTTTGACATCGTTTTGCTTCCTCATGTATCAACATCTCTTATCTTACTTGTGCTTCTGTTGTGTTTTTCATATTGCCTATTGGTCATGTGTTAATTTTCTGGAACTACCGGGATAAAATTCTGTAGATAAAATTGTTGTTATTGGTTGACTGACAAATAGAATATATCCCAATAGTACTGGAAGAACGCGATATATATTCAGGACTAATATTATTCAGGATCGATATTTTCTGGATTGAAACTTTGGATGCTCAAGTAGTTTCTTCACTTCGACATATTGCCAGCTCTCTATACATACATACATACATACATACATACATACATACATGTGTCATATGGAATATACTATAATTAATGCAGTTACAGCATGTAATTTCTTCTGCCCCTGCTGTGCATGACTAATATTATGTCCTCCCTTTCTTCAGGTGCGTGCTTTTGAATCACAATGTGGCTCGTTGGCGCAGTATGGAATGAAGCACATGCGGTCCTTTGCAAACATCTGCAATGCCGGCATCCTTCCTGAAGCGATGGTGAAGGTGGCCGCTCAGGCGTGCACCAGCATCCCAACCAACCCATGGAGTGCCACACACAGAGGTTTTAGTGCTTAAACCATAGTTGAAGCAACTCAGCCACTATTTCAGCTATTGTACCATATACCAAAGTCACTTCCTATTCACACAGGGTTAGTACATAGTGCTTGAACGAACCTTAGATGTAGATGAATAAGAATTATGCCCTTATTTCTGCTATTCCACCACACCAATGTATCCTCTTTGTGCCCAACTTATAATGTACATATACAAAAGTAGAAAGGTGAGTTGATGTGATTGTTGTACATACTCATGATAGTTTGTGATCAGATGTGTAGCTCGCAACTCCATATATGAAGAATGCAAGCGCTCCTATTTCTACGTAGACTGTGTAATCTCATACCATGAGCTGTTATTTTCCAATCCATTTGAAACCCTGCAGCTACTTGTGACCAAACCATCAAATATCCAGTTCCGACATGCTTCGGGGATAAGTGGACAACACAACTCGATTTAGGGCATCGGTTGATGGCAATCAACTTAACTCATGAACTTCATTCCTTCCGATTCCGGTCGAATTTTTCTGGTGTATTCTCAGTGCAATATGTTTGTTTATCGAAGGTCATCCTAACAAAGGATAATCTAAGGTCATCCTAAGGAAGGATAATCTGGCAACATGAATGTGACATGGTAGTAAAAAATGTTGTTTTCCTGATCTGGAGGAAACAAATCGCCATCCTTTTATCCTCTGACGATTTGCCGCCCTTTCTTTGGCGTATGATTCATGCAACATTTAGCCTGCCTCCACCTAATAGTATAGTGAATCTGTTTGGAAATTGGTTGGGTGGGATTTATCCTAAGTTTAAGGAAAATATGAGTGGGAGTTTGTGTTTTCCTGTGGACATTGGAATCTTCATAATGATTGCCTTTTTAACATAACAAGAACTAGCCGGGCTACCCGCGCATTTGCGCGGCTAGGTTGTTAACCATTTGGTTTTTGTTCCTTTCCTAATTATTTGGCCTCTTACTAACCATTTGTACGATTAAATTCTCCACCGTTTGTAGGTCATTATAGCAACACTGAATATCCCAATGAAACATGCAAATATTAGGTTGTTAAATAAATTCATTGGCATGTGATGTTGTAAGACCGATATAAAACCATAGATGAGCATTCATGCCAATCTTGGTGCTTTTCGTCTTTGATACACTCCTCCTTCTCCCTCATTTCGTGTCATTGCTCAATAGGTTTTGGAGCAATTCCCCTCCAACAATATAATCTAAACTTGAAATGCTCATATGTAAAGTTATTTTCTTCCACCCATATAAATCAAAGGCCACATTCTTAGTTACCTTTCTTGATTAATGCTGCCAACCAACATATGCATCGAGGGATGCTCATCTTCTATGACGCTTAGTTTTTTGTGCTGATAATATTTAACTTAAATATTCTATCTGACTCATTCCCTTCAAAGCATATTCAAGATAATCATGCCCGTGTTTCTTTCTATCATCTTGTAATTTTATTAATTATACGAATCATAAAAAGCTAATTATACGTCAAATATTTTTAAATGTATCTTCTTATGAATTTCATATGGAATGAAAAGAGAATTTGTGAACTTCATTTTATTTTCATTCCGAATCTACATTAGTTCAAACTGAAAGTGTGCTTATATTCTTCATCTAAAATTTCATATTTTTAAGTTACTAAGAGTAATTTTACTCTTTATGAACGTGTATAGTTGTATCATTAATGGATTTTCTCAAAAGAAAACCTACAGATTTTCTAAACATTTCGGTGTCTACTGTTCGACATCATAGTAATTAACCATCACTTCATCGGTGCAAATGTGTCATCCCACGTAGGCGAATCATAGAGACTTATATATATATTTCAAGCTAATGTTACTTAGTATAATAACTGGTGTATAGTAAGAAAATATCTGAAGATTAGATTGATATGACTTGAGCGTGTGTGATGGTCATTATGAATGTTTCATTCTTTCTTCTGTCTTAACATCCAAACTCACCATGCTGGGTGCACATTTTAATTTTTGTTATCGGTCCATTTTTACTATGTTTTGTGGGGTGTTCCACTTTTTTACTGTTGTTACAGATCAATACATCCAAACATTCTAACATGGTGCATCTATCATTCATGTCATCCTATGGATGAATTGTTACAGGAAACTAATCACTATATCTTGGTACAATGCATCTAAAACCTGTTTAACGTGCATGATTTTATGACATAATCTATTTGAATTGATTTGATCCACTGTGCTTTCAGTTTGAACATATTTTGTTATCGCTTTGAACTCTGAACTCAAATCGGCGCACGTAAGGAAATAATTAGAGGCAAACTAATGCAAACTGCCGTGGCACCAAGGATTGAAATAATCATGTACCCCTTCTACCATGTATCACGCTTGCATCCGTGTTTGCCGAATTGGGATCACCATCTATTTCAACAGCTTCATGGCCATATCAAACTCTTTGATGTCAGCATATCAGACCGGTCTTATACCTTGTCTGACTTATAGACCAGTCACTACTTGGTAGACCGATATTGCCATACAGACTTGTCGTAGACCTTGCTGCAGCCTCTATAGATCGATATAGCTGTGCAGATTCGTGTTCAACTTGTGGTAGACTCCTGGTGCCTTTGTTTGTTCGTGCGAGACGGTGGTGGTCGTCTATCTATGGTGGGCCGTAGAGGGGTTGCTGCCATCCCCAGGTCAACTTGACGGGCTTGGTGTAAGCATGTCTATTTATTTTACAAGAGTTGTGCATGTATGTTTGCTGTTGCACATCCTTCCATTGGTGCTTCTGCAGTTGTTTGAAAGTCACCGATCAACCTTACGTATCCGTACGTGCCGCACAACCTGTAAATGTAATGGCGGAGATTTCTGCCTGCGGCCGTGTTTGCGGCACAATCAAAAGCACCGCTCGAGGAGCTTGTTGTACTCATTAGAAGCCTCCCGTCATGGGGAACACCGGCATCTACAGATCCACTCAACGGTGCTGCTTATATTATATGATTTTAATATGATTTTGGTTATGATTTTATACATCTTTTTTGTGTTTTTTCACGCACTGTAATTTTCGCATACATTATATGTAAATTTAAGTAAAAATAAATGGCATTTTTTGCTATGAATCTGCCATTGCAAATTATTTTTGTTTGTACGATGGAAAATGCCCTGACTTTTTTTTACTTTTTTGGGTTATTATTAAAATATATTCTTGTCCACTCATGCCCACCATTGCAAATTTAAAGTTGTTGGCATTTTTATTTAAAAAGGTAAAAAAACTGGGATTATTTGTCTCAGGAAAAAGCAAAATCTGGCCTTTTTTCTTCTATTTTTTGCGTTGTGCTTTTTGAATCACTTTTTGGGCCGTTAGGGCTGAGGAGGCGTTCGCACTGGGGCTTCTCCTTTCAAGCCAAATTGTTCGTCGTGGGTGAGGTATCATATCGAACGTCTCGTTCGGTCTGGCACCTGCCTAGGTCGAACGGTCGGGAGATATCAGAGTTCTTTCTTTTTTGGTTAGACCAAGGTAGTATTATTGTAGGCAGGATGGCAATTTAGACCATATCATTTTTTTCTTTTTGTTTTACAACATTTTTCTTGGACAATGGCAATTTTATTAAGCACACCATGGTAAATTCCCTGTTTACATAGTAGTATGAAAAAAAACATTGACATGACAATTTTTTGGCCTTTTGTGACATATCAACTTTCTGCATCCTTTATTCGCAATGTAGACTTTTGCCATGTGATTTTGAAGTAGTTCAAAATGGAACAGTCAAAGAAGGAGTTCTTGCCTGTGTTGCAAGGTGTGAAGTTGAGTAACACTCAAAAACCCGACCATGACAGAAAATAGAAAGAGAATGAAAAGTCATTCCCTATACCTCAGTCATAGGTTCTATAAAGTATGATATGTTGTGTACCAGACCTATTGTGTACCTCACCAGGAGTTTGGCAAGAGGGTACAATAGTGATCTAGGAGTAGATCACTGGATAGCGGTCAAAATTATCCTTAGTGGAATAAGGAAATATTTCTTGGTTATGAAGGTGATAAAGAGTTCATCGTAAAGAGTTACGTCGATGCAAGCTTTGACACCGATCTAGATGACTCTAAGTCTCGATCTAGATACATATTGAAAGTGGGAGCTATTAGCTAGAGTAGCTCCATGCAGAGCATTGTAGACATAGAAATTTGCAAAATACACATACGGATCTGAATGCGGCAGACCCATTGGCTAAACTTCTCTCACAAGCAAAACATGATCACACCTTAGTACTCTTTGGGTGTTAATCACATGGCGATGTGAACTAGATTACTGACTCTAGTAAACACTTTCAGTGTTGGTCACAGCGGTGTGAACTATGGGTGTTAATCAAATGGTGATGTGAACTATTGGTGTTAAATCACATAGCGATGTGAACTAGATTATTGACTCTAGTGCAAGTGGGAGACTGAAGAAAATATGCCCTAGAGGCAATAATAAAGTTATTATTTATTTCCTTATTTCATGATAAATGTTTATTATTCATGCTAGAATTGTATTAACCGGAAACTTAGTACATGTGTGAATACATAGACAAACAGAGTGTCACTAGTATGCCTCTACTAGACTAGCTCGTTGAATCAAAGATGGTTAAGTTTCCTAGCCATGGACATGAGTTGTCATTTGATTAACGGGATCACATCATTAGAGAATGATGTGATTGACTTGACCCATTCCGTTAGCTTAGCGTTTGATGGTTTAGTATATTGCTATTGCTTTCTTCATGACTTATACATGTTCCTATGACTATGAGATTATGCAACTCCCGAATACCGGAGGAACACTTTGTGTGCTACCAAACATCACAACGTAACTGGATGATTATAAATGTGCTCTACAGGTGTCTCTGATGGTACTTGTTGAGTTGGCGTAGATCGAGATTAGGATTTTTCACTCCGATTGTCGGAGAGGTATCTCTGGGCCCTCTCGGTAATGCACATCACTATAAGCCTTGCAAGCAATGTGATTAATGAGTTAGTTGAGGGATGATGCATTACAGAAC